TCCTGTTTATCTGCTTCTCATTTCCTACCATTGAGCACTAGATCGTTGCACAGAGACACGGAAGATTTGGTGGTTTCCTCCTCCCTTCTCTTCAAGGACTCTTGACTAATATTTGTATTGTGTTTGCTAATTAGCCTGTTCTGAGGAGAGCTTTATGCTGCTTTCCCATTTCTGTTTTTCTGAAGGAATATTGGTAAAGATTTTTATAGCATGTACAGAAAAAAAGTCTTTAAAGCATAATTTCCTTCCTAGACTCTTTGTGAGTAGCGTGGGCCTAGCCCATTGATTACATTTGGAATAGGATGCCTCATGCTTCCCTGTCCCTATTTACTCTGCTAATTTTAGGGAGCTATTTCTGGATATCCCACCATAAGAAATGAACTGAAAAAGTGGTGAAGCCAAAGTTGTTATTGAACAGGACAGCAAGGAGCAGACCTGCAATTCCTGGACTTGCAGAGAAGTCCAAGATGACTTGTTGACAGAAAACTGAGAACCTGTCAAAGGGCCATGGCCTAGGTTACCAGCAACCAGAGGAAGGTGGAAAAGTGTTTATTTGGGGAATATACCAATAAAAGAGAAGGGAAACAGACAGTTGGGTGCTTTCCTGTTGTCCAACAAGTCCAACTTTACCGTGGATTTGCCAACCCTGAGAGCTACCGTGTTTCAGAGACTTCTCTGAATGAGGCAGAGCTGGGGGGCTTGGTCTGGGAGTACTTGATGCATCATTACTTGTTTCCATGCAAACTGTTTTGTGTTGTCTGTTTCCCTGCCACCCAGTTAACAGTTCTTCCTATTTATATCAACCTCACCTGGAAAACCCAACAAAGGATTTTACAAATGTCTCCCAGTTTAGACAGAATCTCTTCCTCATTCAGCTAAACATGCATGTAAAATATTGTGGCATTTGACTGGTGGGAGGAGAATTTCTGTGCTGTTCTTTCAGCTTCTTGTCCAAGAGTCTACTAATGTCTATTTACTAAGGCACAGAGACTGGTATCCCCAGCCCTCACTTTCTGCATCCAGCCTGATGCCCAAGGGCTCTCAGAGCACGAGCACCCACCTGAAGTGAGCCAAAACTTGGGCATTTCCCACATCACAGGAGCCTGGGCTGACCATGATGGTCCATCTGAGAAGGATACTGCCTGTGCACAGCACAGCTGCCTGTGTGAGCTGCATGGTGTGGTTGTGAGCATAGGTGGGACAGGAAGGCTGCAAGCTGAGACTGTTCTAGTCATGCCCATGGGTGAAGCTGCCTCTCCTTATGTAGGTGCTCATCCAAGCCCACCCCTCAGCACAAGGTGTGAAGTGAGTTTAGATCTGGTAACAGACTCACGGGTATAAAGTAAACCATAGCTGTCATTAATGTGCTCTCTGTGAAAGAAACCTTCCTGTGGTCATCACAGAATCACAGAATGGCCTGGATTGGAAGGGACTTTAAAGATAGTCTAGTTCCAACCTCACTGCCAGAGGCAGGGACACCTTCCACTAGACCAGGTTGCTCAAAGCCCCATCCAGCCTGGCCACGAACACTTCCAGGGATGGGGCATCTACACCTGTTCCAGTGATTCACTACCTTCTGAGAAAAGAATTTATTCCCAACATCTAATCTAAATCCTTCTTCTTTTAGTTTAAAACCAAGGAGATTTTAAAAGGAGGTGCCAGTTGACCTTTGCTTGTGCTGGGCCCAGGGCACATACAAGTGAATCGCCCCAGGCCAAACCTCACATGACAAAATTTCTGCAATCTGATGGCATGGGGGAATGTGACAGCTGCAGCTGGACAACACTAATCCCCTGCCTGAGGACACTGCTTGGGACAAAGAGGGAGGATTTCTGCCCTGGGATCTCTCACAAACTTTCTGTAAGGCATTTCTGAGGGTACTCACTCTACAGAGAAACACCTTCACTGCCAAATACCTCCCCTCATGCATATAATGATACACTTTCTTTTAAATTTGCTGGTAGCCTTTTCTCTTCAGGCCTGTGAAGAGGCATGCTTCAGGGACGAAACTCCACTAAAACTCAGGATTCCTTTTTTAACGTAAGGCCACATATCTTCATTTTCATGCTGGGCTCCAAAGTACATTTCTGTGAGCTGCTGCTCTCGCATGTCAAACCTGTGCTCCAGCAGAAGGACCTCAGCCATTGCAGTGTGCCCTGGGAGAGGTGAAGGGAGAAGGCAGCAAAGTAGCACACATGGCAGACTAAACCCGTGTGTGTCACTCACCAACTAATGGAAGGGGCACAGTCATCACACACCGGGGCTTGGCTGAACCCTGAAATAGCAAACTAGAAGCAGACAGGGTAAGGAGATGCGGTAACACATGAAACTCGGAGAAGCAGCAAAAAAGAAGGGTGGATCTCTCTTGTCCTCCAGATTTGTGACAGGACACACAGTGTTTGAAGTGGTCCAGCAATATCCCTTTCAGTCGGCAGCAGCTCTTTGAGGACAAAAGCAGCTGCAGCTGAACCACCCAGCAACACTGGCTTTGTGCAGACTTGCCCTTGCTGTGGCTTCTGACAAAACATTCTTGCTTTCCCTTGCTCCCTGCAGCTTTTCAGCCACCTGCTACCACTTTCAGCTTTCTGCTGCTATATATATTCTTGTTAATCTCTCCTGAATCCTGCCTACATTTTCTGAAGGGAAGATGAAACTGGGTTTTTTTCAAGGCAGCTCTTCTCAGGAAGCAAGTTCTTTGTGATGTCAAGCTATTAACCTTTTTCACCTCTCCTTGAGCAATATTTGAGACAGGGAAGTGATCTGAAAGGCTGTAAGTTTTTACATGCGAAAGATCATAGAATCACATAATATCCTGACGTGGAAGGGACCCACAAAGATCACTTAAGTCCAGCACGTGGCCCTGCACAGGACAGCCCCGAGACTCACACCATGTGCCTGACAGCATTGTCCAAACTTCTTCAACTCTGGCAGGCTTGGTGACCACTCAGCACTCATAATGGGAACACAACAGAGACATTCTTTCCCTTTGCTGCTGGGCTGACCACTCAGTACTCATAATGGGAACACAACGGAGACATTCTTTCCCTTTGCTGCTGGGCCCATGAGACAGAAGGATATTACAGTAGGATATTTCATGGAGATGCAGCTATTATGGGGCTGGTAGGGGGAACCTAGGAAAATGGGGCAACACTTCAGAGAAAAACAGGCTGAATTAGTTCTGCTGCTCACAAAGCAACTACAAATCATAGTACTCATAATGGGAACACAACGGAGACATTCTTTCCCTTTGCTGCTGGGCCCATGAGACAGAAGGATATTACAGTAGGATATTTCATGGAGATGCAGCTATTATGGGGCTGGTAGGGGGAACCTAGGAAAATGGGGCAACACTTCAGAGAAAAACAGGCTGAATTAGTTCTGCTGCTCACAAAGCAACTACAAATCATATTACTGAGGTATGTGTGGGGAGAACACATATTGCAGCAGAGAGTGGCTGTGGGATCACAGCAAGGTTGGAGGAGACCTCCAAGATGAAGTCTGACCACTAACACGTCACTCTGCTTTATGGAGGTGTATGAATGCCAGTGTTTATTCTACTGTGCTCACTCCAAAAATCCAGCTTTTACAGCTGACTTTTTTTCTGAGATGCTGAAAGTCAGCCAGCACCTGTACCACTTCCTTTACTCCCTTCCTAAAGGAACAAAGCTGACGAAGCTGCACAGCAACAACTCCTCGACAGATGAGTTTATTGAAATGATTTTTAAAAGCAGGTTATTTCTGAGTGTACTCCATCAATCCCAACAGTTCAGAAAAACAATTGTCCAGTGTCCAAAGGAAGTGTGCATGTTACAAACAGTACATTTTTCATATACTCATTTATACCACATGACATGAGCATAAAATGTCATTCAGTATGCAAATTAATTGCTACAGTTCCCCTAAAAAAAGTAGGGCACACATGGAAATAGCTCTTAATCCAAGGCTAGTATAGCTGTCCCCCTGCCTTGGACTCCAAGATCAACTCACTAGTGTTCTGATGTAAATCACCAGATTTTTAAAGGGTTTTCTTTTTAATTTACATTTACTTTAAATGTTTTTGGTTTGGTTTTTTTTTGAAAGATTTTTCTCAGATGATATTTAGTGGGAAGTGTAACATTTGAATATTTACTATAATATAAATACTTCAGAAGTTTTTACCTTCATTTTGCTGGACATCTTTAGCCTGATCTGAAGAAACAGGTTCCATGGATGAAGTTACAAAACAAACAACAAAAAAAACCCCAAAAAACCCCAAAAACCAAATCCAAACGCAAACAGTGAATTTAACCAACTTACAGGAGGAAGGAGGGTCCAGAGTTCAGGGTAAAACATTACTCCTACAGAATGAAAGGTGTTTGGAGCTTAGGAAGTGCTGACATCTACATGTGCATGATGACACAGGCTCTCAGTGCTTTCCTGTATTAAAAAATAAGCATCGACTCGGATTTTCCTTTCTAAGAACAGTCTTAAGAGTTCCATTTAAGCATCGACTTGGATTTTCTTTTCTAAGAACAGTCTTAAGAGTTCCATATTCTGTCTGCAAATCACTTTTCAGCTACTCCCCTTGGAGTGCAGCACAGCTGCTTTTAACAGGTCAGGTTCCATTTCAGTGTGTCTCTCCTGGTTTTCACACATTTTAATGTTTTACCAGCCCTTTTGACCAACAATACGATCATTTTATTGTCAAAATAAGTACTTTTTTCAGCAAATGAAAAGCTTATTCCAACAATGCATCTCTATATCCAGTGTGAAAGCAACATGGTGGCATATATGCATACTTTGCATTACACAGAATATATTATACACATTCCAGTTAACCATGGAACAATCAACAGGAGTAGATGACCACTAATCATGGGCACAAAGTATTTTCGTAAACAAGATTCTGAGAAAACTTGAAGGAAAATCTGATTTCCAGAAAGATGACAATCTTGGGATTCCATTTTTGTTTTCAATGAAGTCAATAGTTTTTATTTTTTCAGGATGCTGTATATAAGAATGCACTTTGTATTAAAACAAAGATCAATACTTTACAGTTTAAGAAACTTTACATATGTACATAAATTACACATCAGGAATGGTTTTAAAGCTCAGAATGAGTTGTGGGAAAAGTCTATTTTACTTCTATTAAAATCTTTAACTCTTTTACGTTGTGATCGTTTGCAACTGTAACAGCATGATCCAGGGCTCGGATACTTGCTAGGAGTTTTATGATCTGCTTGATGTGCTCCCTAAGAAAGAGGAGGGAGAAGTCAATACAGGAATAGAACAATCATGGACATGGATTAATATCCCAACAGAAGATGACATGATGAAGCCATACAGTTAACATTTCTGCTGCAGACTTACTAGATTTGCATCATGAGGGTAACAGCAACAGATTTGTTAAATGCTGGGAAAAAGCAGGAGGATGAAAGATAGAAATTAAATCAGAACTCACTATGAAAATAAGGATAAATGGATGTTTCCCTTCCAACACAAACTTTTACCAAGTTATCATTTCAACTGGTGAAGAAAGTTCTTTCAAATTTAGAAACAGGCTACCAAAATAGAGAGTTCAACGATAAAACTTAAAACTCAAACTGTTGCACTGATCCTCAGAACTGCAACAAGACCAGAAGATTGTTTATTCCTGTGCTGTTGCTGTTCCCATAGCATTTCAGGTTACTGAACTTTTAACTAAGCTGGTTATTGGATTCAAGTAAAATGACTTTTGGATCTAGGGCAAAACAGGGTCATCTAGTAGGTTGTGTAAATAAGGCACAACTTTTGTACAGTACACAAAAGACAGTTTGCAATTCACAAGTCATGATGCAGGAATCAGCATCAGACTCACAAGGTCAAACAGTCCAAAACCTGTAGCTACAAAATTCAGCAGAATCATAGAATGGTTTGGGTTGTAAGGGACCTTAAAGCTCATCCGGTTCCAACCCCTCTGCCATGGGCAGGGACACCTTGCACTAGTCCAGGTTTCTCCAGGCCCCATCCAACCTGGCCTTGAACACCTCCAGGGATGGGGCAGCCACAGCTGCTCTGGGCAACCTGTGCCAGTGCCTCACCACTCTCACAGGGAACAATTTCTTCCTAATACCTAACCTAAATATCTCTTATTTCAGTTTAAAACCATTGCCCCTTAGTCCTGACACTATCTGCCCATATAAAAAGTCCCTCTTCCTCCTTGTTATAAACTCCCTCAGGAATCAGTGACACAAAGTGGCAATGCCAAATACATTTGCAGTGGTTCAATGTTTCCAGAAGTTGCTGTTTTCTAGGAAGCAGTGACACAAAGTGGCAATGCCAAAGACATTCTCAGTGTTTCAATGTTTCCAGAAGTTGCTGTTTTCAGACACCTTAAAAGTATCCCCATCTACCACAGAGTAACAGTTTTGAAGTCAGACTTCAAAGAAGTTCCCGAAGACACACAGCAGGATGGAGATAGTTAGCCACATTTGCATGCACCAGCAAAATAAAACACATCACAAGAACTGCAAGTGCTTTAACCCAAAACAAGTTACCTTGCATTTCTCTTCTCTACATCAGAGCATCCAATGCTGTTTCTGTAAATTGTATCAGCCAGGTGAACAAGATATCTACAGAAATTTTCTAGCTGAGAAATAGTCTTGTCTCCTTTTAAATTAGTGAACCATTGTTTAGGAAAACAAGCAATTACCTAGGCAGAACAGGGAAAACAAAGTCAAACACAACATAATAAAATCTTTAAAAAGCTGTGTAACATGATTTGTGAAGTCTGTTGGGTGAGAATGCAGTGGGAAGGCCCAGCTGAGTCAAACAGTGAGAAAACTACCAAAAAACTATCCCAAATCCAAGCAGTAAGACACTGAAACCCACAGTACACCCAATCCATCCACAGCTACGAGCCAGAAAAGGTTTTCTATAGTCTGTGTATTAAAAAATATAAAATCTACTTTTCGCTGACATTACAACTTTTGACGTATCAAAGTCAAAGCTTCACAGGCAACCTCAAGTTTAAACTACATTTTCACTTCAGTTGAAATCTGTGAGTTACAAGCGATTTTAGACATTGCTTGATTTTACTTACACTTTGAGCTTTCTTGATGCTGTCCTCTCCGTACTCTGAGTTTTGAAAAGCCATAAGAATGTATCTATTTAGCAGCCCATCTATGGACAGCTCCTGGAGAGTTTTGTTTGAAAGGATTCCATACCACTGGAGAAAGTTTCCTAACAACTGCAAAGACAACACGGGGAAAATTAGTATTTCAAAATGCAGTGATACCAGAAAGTTGATCAAACACTTAAAATATTTTCAATATTTTGCAAACCCATTCAGAATGACAGTATCCCTCATTGCTGCAATTTAAATAGAAAATTCCAGAGCAGAGTTGTTTGCATGATCATGGAGAGCAGCTGTTCAGTCAACATGGGTCTCTACTTTCCTGTTTAGTTGAGAGCTAACCTTCTTCACAGCCCTTTATTGTAATTAAACTGTGACAGTCACAGCTTCATACAGACCTTTTCAAACTGTATTGCACATTCCACACACAGACTTGTTCTTTTACACTATCATTGCACTTAAACTCAGATTACAAATGCTCTTGTACTTTACAAATAGCAGTGAGGTTTCCAGAAAGGGGCAGTTACTCTGATGAAGATTCTCACACACTACATATACAGAAAAACCCTACAGATCGAGCTCTCCCATTCCCCCAAAGCAGCATGTTTTATTTTGACAAGCATAAGGACATAAAAAGACCTGGGCTGGGTATGCTAAGTGACACCCCATACAAGTTGAAACGACGGTGGTCTCACTTGTCAATCTTTTGAATCACAGAATCATTAAGGTTGGAAGAGACCTCTGAGATTATCAAGTCCAACCTATGACCTAACGCTACCATGTCATCTAGACCATGGCACTAAGTGCCACATCCAGTCTCTCTTAAACACCTCCAGGGATGGTGACTCCACCACCTCCCTGGGTGGCACATTCCAGTGCCTCATCACCCTTTCTGTGAAGAAATTCCTCCTAATATCCAA